ACCTCTTGCAGCATAGCGTGTTATAGAGCAGCTATAATACACGTCGTCTTGGAGTGTCAGGAAGCATTCCTTACCGCTATACCACCACCCACCCACTCCTTCAAGCTTCTCCGCCCCATCCACATTCGTGTCTAATATATATACATAGGCTGCTGCTACTACTGCCACTGCAACTCAAGCAGCAGCAGCAGCAGCAACTTATTTCGTCAACAAGGCGCGTAATCACGATTCGCGAGACGAGATATTCGAGATTGTCTATCAACGTATATGCCGGTTATACGCGACTCGACGCGCTTGTGGCTTTACCCGTGCGCGCTCCTCCTCGTTGTATACTGCGGTCGTTTTACTGCGTTTTAATGTACGCACGATTCGTTTTTAATCTAACGCGCGCGCTGATGTTGCTTCTGCTGCACACGTAAACGCAAATCTCATCTCTGTATAATACGCGAGCGCGCGAGAGCATGAGCATGAGCAGCAGCAGCAGCAGCTATACTATTACAGCTGCTCGTATTTCAACGGCTTTATGAGCTTACCCTTCTGGGCCCCCACCGCGTGTGCACGCGCGCTTAATTAAAAAAACTTGGATATTTTTCTATGAGCCGAGAGGAACGTGTATATAACCCGTACGTTCTATATAATATCTATATTTTGCCGCCGAAGATATAAAAAAGACCAACGCATCGCCGCTGCCGCCGCCTGCGGGAATATAAAGTCGAAGAATCAAAGTTAATAAGAGAAGTAGCTGCTGCTCGCCGAGCTCCGTGCTGGGAAATCTTTTTTAACGTACGACCCGATAATGAAAATAATGCGAGCGCCAAATGATATTTCGCGTGCAGGCGCTATACGATCTGCTGCGCGGCGCGTGGCTTGTGGCCATTGCTGCTGCTGCAATTGTTGTGTATGTGTGTCTCGACTTACGAGTACGATGACCCGAAGAGAGTAACAGAGTAAGAGAAAAAAAGAAAAAAAGAACAGCAGTGAAGCTCGGATTTAATGAAGATCAACATTGAAACGCGCGAAAGCGCTACTAACGTAAACCCGTATAAGCTTTGACAATGGCCTGTAAGAACTGCGCATTTACATTCAACTTTTTAATTAACACACGAATGTTTCTTGGGAAAATATGTATTCTACTACTGGCGCGCGCGAGATGTGAGGGATGTTTGCGAAAGGTTATCACTCGACTTTTGAAGATGCAATTTTCGCGAGAGGCCATCGCAAGTTTCAAATTTTATACTCGTTCGTACGTAAACAATTAATTGAAAAACAGAGTCGGAAGCTGTTTCCGAATCAAATTTACGATAAATATATCTGTGAACGTATAAAAATTTTTCACGTTTCGTACACGTGTGCTGCGGAAATTTGAATCGCATATTTTACGCTAAATGAAATTTTATATTTCCAGGGGCGTTCGTTAACAAAGCAATTATATCTTACAAGTTAAAAAAAATAGAGAGAGAAAGAGAGAGAGAGAGAGAGAGAGAGAGAGAGAGAGAGGAGAGAGCAACAGTCAAAACGAAAAAAACCGCGAAATAATTCTAAAAATCCCCGCACCACGCGCACACGCATGACTGACAGCTTAATCAATGAGTAAAATTGACGCGGACCAGAGCAGCAGCAGCACCGCCAGAGGTGCGCGCGCCCGCGTACTATAACACAATCCCGCGAATAGTCACCCGATTTTTAATCTTTTTTTTTCTCGCACGCTCACAGGAGCGCCAAATAGTGCGGTCCGCCGAGGCGCTGATTGCCCATATGCGGATGCTTTCAAATGTGCGGCGCATTGTGTGCAGCTCCTACCCCCCCGCGCGTAGTACGACTTACGCGCGCTCGCAGCTGAGCCCGTAAAGTAGGTACACGCGCATACATATAGCACATATATACAAGGACTGTAACGACTATGGAGCGAATGAGTTACGCTCTCGGCTCGGTATATACCCACACTGCTGGCGCCATCCTTTTAGCCTACCACGAACTATATTATACAAAGCACACATGCATGCGGCGTACACATATTTCTATAAATCGTTCATACTCCGTCTTTTTTTGTGAGGCACATTGCCTGGCAAAATACTCAAAGAGAAATCAAAGTTAAAGTTTTCCGATTGATCCACTTTGGTGCGTACTCTTTTTAATCCTGTCGAGGCGTAGTCGTTCAAAAATTAATACATTTTTGGCAGGATTTTATACATACATGCGGATATTTTCCAGAATTCGCAGTAGCAGTAGCAGTAGCAGCAGCAGTAGCAGCAGGCAGTATTGCACGCATCGGCGAAGTATTTGATGCTGCTGAATTTGTAACATGAATCTCTGGTACGTGACTTTTTGTGCGCGCTCGCGCGCGGCGACCACGTTACAGCTAAACTATGCGAATTAGTTGCATCTGTCAGTGCATAGTTGGTCCGCTCCGGTGCGTCTTTTCCCTCTGCGTGGCTGGAATTTTTCTAATATCCATTTTACTGAACTTCGTTTTGTTTTTTTGTTTCGTTTCCTTTTTCGCGAATTGTGTCTGTGTATGTGTGTGTGCCAAATAAAAGAAGATCCACGGCTGTACCGTTAGAAGATTGTATACGTTTTAACAATATCGCACCGCGTTTGACTGTACGTTTTTAACGCTACATGAGCTTTTTGTAAAAAAATGCATTTCAATCTTAACGATGTCAATTTTGAATTAAAATTTCAATTCAATTCCGATTTCTTGTGTGATTTTCACATTTTCCTACACAAAATCCTACAATGAACGTCTTTGTGAATGTTTCGTGTTTATATTACAATCGGAAACTTGTTTTATCACTTGCAAGTTTACAACACTCCATCTGTTGATGAAAGCGCCCATTACCACTGTTGATGAAGATAAGTCTTCCCCCAATAGAAAACGATTTTATTAATTTGTTTAAACTTAAATTATATTGGAGAAGTTTTTTTGAATTTTCAATCCATTTTTCTACAACCTACACTAATTATATTTTTTCAAAAAGCTGTAAGGGCGATCTTCTAATTTTGATGTTCTTGGAGATACCATAGACTTTTTGAACAACAAACTATTTTACATTCATAATTAAATTTATATTTAGGGTTATTCCATCGTTTACCGGTAAAAGAACCGTCAGGTTCCATAACATGCAATATGCTTTAATGCGAGTATATCAAACAACTTCAACTACAAGATCGATATCGAACTTATCAAAGCAATGAATTAGCATGAAATTTAACTGACATTTGCTAGCAAAGAGGTCTTCTTCGGGTGAGCCACGTTGCACTTTACAAATTATAATTACCGAAATGAAAGAAGCCAAATGATATTGTTGTACCCTAGTGATATACAGGTAAATTCATCTCAATTTAACACATACACAGCGTAGGCTAGTATATGTATGCACGCGTTCGATATTAGAGTAGGCGCTTTCACATGAAAAACGTTTCCCTGCTATACTCTTGCCGCATACCTTTGACGAATACGGTTCGCGAGTGATATCTGCTTTGACAAAACAACTCATATCGGCTCTTTCTCTCGTGTTTGCGTTGCGTGCGTACATATACACACACATATCGTATAAAGGGGCTGCGCGATCGTCGGAGCGTTTCGCAATTTTCTCTTCATCTGCTTCGTGTGTGCAACATGTACCTGCACTTATACCCTCGCGCGTTGAGCACACACAGACAGATACATGCGCGCGAGACGCGCGTCACGCATGGCACATATACTCAGTTGGCAATAAATATCGATTACGGCGAGGCTTTTCTCGCGCGCGCGTCGGTCGGTCGTTTCGCAGCTTTTAGCAGTCCGCCACCACCACCGCCGCGCTATGTGTTGTTGTCGAGGCGCGCGGAGCTGCTTTCCGATTTATGATACATGGGTCGTGCGGCGCGTCGGCGAGAGAGAGAGAGAGGACACAAGCCATGTACGTATACGTACCGTATAATACGAGCTGACGCTATAGGCCTGCTCCGCAAAGTTTTATCCCTCGCGCGCGCCCTCACCCCCCGGCTCATTTTCTCCGTAATAAATGTGCTGCAGCGCTCCGCCGTCACCCCTCCCGCTTCTGCCTAGCACCAGCCTAGGTGAGCCTCTTGTGAGTGATCGATATACGTGTGTATGTATAAGGTATATCTGGACGCGCACGTGGGTTAAACGCGACTCATGCTGCTGCTGCTGCAGGTATAGCTCTGACCAGGTATTATTATTATTGTTATTATATGCTCGCGTGCATCATGCGGACGCTCCATCACCAACGAGCTTGCTGCCGTGCTTTGCGCCTCGACACGTGTGAGCCGTAAATTTTCATCCTGGCTTGGTGCGCGCCCCCGCTAAGATCTGTAAGACGCGCATTTTGGACACACACACATAACACTATAGACGCCAGTCCACTCGATATATGGCGCGTACATGTATACAAGCTATTATACGAAGGCTTCTCTGTGCTGTACGCGCGAAAAGCTATAGAAATGTTTACTCTTTGATACATCGCTCACCGCCACAACTGATAAAAGCCATATATGTAACGCTGAAGCATTGAGCTTTTGTAAAGCTCGGCTCTCTCTCTCTCTCTATATATGATGTTGCGCTGTATGCGCAGTGTCTGGGAAATTTTTCACCGCGGATAGTTCCCGTTTGTTTGTTTTTTTCCTTTCTCTCTCTCTCTCTCCCTCTTTCTTTCTTTCAATATTCGTAGCCGTGAACTTGATACAGTGGTTTATAGGTCGCGGAGAGGTTTGCGAGTCGCGATACGTATATAGCGTCGTCGTCGTCGTCGTCGTCGGCCGCAGCATATAATTGCTCGTTTAAAGCGAGCTTCTCGGATTCCAATGCGCGTATACCGCGCCGCAAGAGGCAGAGCTTGCGATCTGTTCTCTGGTATATGCTACGAGCCTCTGATATAGCCAAGAGAGAGAGAGAGAGAGAGCATACGCGATAACCGCAACGGCAGCAGCTGGCTGGCATCGCCGCCGCTGTGGAGTACGTTGATGAGGTCGCATTAAACACAGCCGATTGCTTGCAGAGACCCACTTCGATTTGCTGGAGGCGGCGGTCTCGCTGATAGACGACAAGAGCCTCTACATAAGCGACGGCTACGACGGCTTCCCGGCGTTCGGATTTCGGCCGTCGTCCGAGGTCAAGCAGCCCTATCGCATGTACCTGCCGGAGAAGCTCAGCGCCGAGTTCACCATCGTGGCCATGTTCAAGATCCAGTCGGCCAGGAACAGCTATCTCTTCTCCGTGCTCAATCCGTTCGAGACGGTCGTTCAGCTTGGCATTCGGATTTCGGTGAGTATATATATACGGACGAGCACCTATTTATAAGCTTTTGTGACGCGAAGCGAGATCTCGTTCATTATATTTCATCTCTTTCGCGTATAGAGTAGGTACGAATGTCGCGCGCGCGCCCCTTTATACGGCCTACAACGACCTACGTACATTACAGATCGACTGAGTTAAGGAATGTAGAGTGATAAATTTCTCCTTGTTGTATCCACTTTCAGGAGTATATAGCACTTGCCTATTGTCCGTATGTATTCAGCTGCGCTTGGGATATACGTGCCCGCTATATATAGCGCATCTGCTCATTGACAGTATGCACGGATATGATCGGGCGAAATATCCTGTTGCTAGCTCGCCGCACTCGCGCGCTATAAGCTGTGCAGCAGTTGCTGACACACAACTTGACCCGAATAGCGCGGAATATAATAGCTCCCGCACTGTCGCATATATACCGCACGCGCGCGCCCATTACATTTTCAGATACATATACATAGAGCACGAGACGTCGCATTCGAGCTATTCGATTATCATCGCGCGACTGCGTTTTGTTTTTCTTGTGCGATGACAGGAGGGCCCGTCGTCCAATCAAAACATATCGCTCGTCTACACCAACTCCGACATGCACTCGTTCTCCGACGAGGTGGCCAAGTTCACCGTGCCCAAGCTCGTGAGGAAGTGGTCCAAGATCGTGATACGCGTCACCATGACCGAGGTCGTTCTCTACCTGAACTGCAACGAGGTCGGCCGCCAGCGGGTCACGCGGATACCGCCCGAGCTCGTCTTCGACACGGCCAGCACGCTCTACATCGCCCAAGGTGGTCCGCACATACAGGAGAAATACGACGTGAGTCGAATAATCTTATACCATTTATGCTAATGGACTTAAATATTTCAATTCGATGAATGTTAAATGAAAATCGAAGAGATCACCCCAATTTCTCCTACGTTTATTTAAAAAAATTTTAAACAAATTCTAGCAATTATAAATTTCATAAGTTGAAAATATACACGAGTAATCATTTTCATTCCGTTAGTGGGACGTACGTAAGTCAATTGACAAGTAACTCTGAAGAGACTTGATTTACATTTTTTTTTAAGCATCTCACATTTCCAATTACCCGATATCACATTTAAAAACCGAAAATGTCTGAAAATTGCCCGAAACCAGTGGCACGTAGAACTTATCAGTCGGGGATAGCTCGGCACGAATAAAAAAGAGCAGATGTTTGAAGTCCGCACGATTTATAGCCCATGCATATTAACTTTATTGTCACTCACTACATTCGTCGCTGCTGACTAGCAATTACAGCATCCGATTTTTGTTTTCCGTGCGACGCGAAAGTGTCACATGGCCCCCTCGATGTTGACAATAATAAATTGTGCGTTGAGTACAGGACTCTTTTTCGATAAGCTACAAACACGTTATACGCTGACGATATTCGTTTGTCATTCGTATAAACCTGTTATATAGCTCGAAGCGCCATTAGAGCGAATATGTTTCGTTATCATCGTGGCACTGGAAAACAAGAAAAATTTTTTGAAATGTTGACTACTGATTTAAACTTTTGACTGATCAATGATGGGAAACTGAGAAAATGTTTGATTAATTCGATTTCAAGGGGTCAATACGACTGAGAAAATTGACCCAATGAGAACTGTTAGTCACAATTACATCGTGAAGAAATAAACGTGTTTGTATTTATCAAAGCGAAAGACATTAATTTTCATAGTTAACTATACTATTAAACATTGTTTTCATATTATTAAGTTCAACATTCAGAGATCATAAATCATAAAAAATTTCAAAAAATGAGTGAAGGTGTAGCGTTACAATTTACAAAGATGTTTTCGTTTGGTCTTTTGTAAGAAAAAATAATAATAAGTAACAATAATATAATGGATTCACCACTTGTCCAAAGTTGAAGCTCGGAGACTCCACAGTACTTTTCTCAATTGTGTTTATGCACTTACGTACTTATGTAAAGGTTGCGACCTTTTCATTTCATTCTACCCTTCCAGCCTTTTGCGGATATATATATAAATTTCATCTACCCACACCAACACATTATGCATAAGCCGTGCAATTTTAACTCTAGGCTCATCTTTTGTCATTCATAACGAATTATATGAATATATTAAGAGACTCATACAGATCAGTTTTGATATGAATCTATTGTCTTTGAATGTCGCCTTCGAAAATGAATCTGAAGCATAATAAACTTTTTTTTGGGTTATATTAAAATTTATAATGTTGTTCCACCATTAAATATTGAAAACTTATTTTATTAATCGTATAAAAAGTAACGCTGGAAAAATAATTAAAATTTCAAGCACAAGAAAAAAATGAAAAATTTATTCATCATTAAATTACATCGCTCGTATCTTTCAAATAAAAGCGTAAATAAAATTTTATTATTTCGAACAATTTTCATAAATTTTGCCTTTCACAAAAGCTATTAAATGAATTAATGAGAGTTATTAACTAATTATTGAAATAATTAAAATCGAGTATAATTTTCAAATAAAGTCCATAGCTTTAGTTTTCATAAAAGTCAATAGTATGCTTTATCCGCAGATCTCTTTTTTCATTTATAAATAGTGCTGCGAGTTATCATCACTAGATCGCAAAACTTTTATTACGAATATTATTGTAAAAATCAGTTATTTCGCTCGAACTCGGTTGCAGTGGGGAAAACAAAAGCGAGCAGGACGACATTTTATTTCAAAAACTGGAAATGTTTTCGAGTCCCTTGACCGATAGCTCGAAAGCTCTTTCCAGTACGATGGTGACAAATTAGCTCGAGCTCGCCCCAGCGTCGAGGTCAAATGAATACTCGATATGCCGAATGGCCATAACTGGACGCGCGCATATCTTTTTCAAAAAAGAGTGCCCCAGAAAATTTAAACCCGCTCGGCGCGCGGTCACCATCACTGCTTTGTAAGTAAAATGAGCAATTAAAATGGGGGCGCCTTTTAACCCCGGGTCACGCGGATGTTCTTTTAGCAGCAGCGGCAGCGGCCTTATCAATAGTAACGAGCCAATCGAGGATGCCCGACGGGTAGGTCTCTCATTTTGCTCTTCGCGTGTGTCACTTATAAAACGAGGATCACGCACTCCGCCATTTTGCAAAATATAACGAGGCGCATTCGATTTACCGCGTGTTTGCGGCCATTTATACCGTGTGTATTATTGACGTTATTTTGTGTATTCGCGTATTTCTTCTTATAAATACAGGCGTACGATAATTCGGTAAAAACATCATTTTGGCTGTCACTGCCGCTGCTGTTTACGTGTTTTCACTCGTTCCGACTGTGCTCCTCCCGCGTGCTTAATAAGTTTTTCATTACTATAATGGACAATTCCGCGTTTATTTACCATACTGGAAAAATTACGTACCCAAAATTATGTATTTTCGATGCCGTTGAACGAAACGACTTTATTTTACGGATACCGCGATCAAAATGTTTGTTTGTTCAATAATTTTTAAATAAACTCGTCGTTGCGCGTACACTTTGATCTTTTGCACTGCAAATGTGTGGGTTGAAATTATGCCCGAAAAATTATGCGTAAAAATATTCTTAATTTTACCGAATGCAACTTGTGTAAAAATATCGTGCTCTCTGGGTGGAAAAAACTTTTATCAAGAAGCTTCACCTAGGGCACATGCGCACATATAAACACACACACGCAAAACAGTGCATTAAGAACAAGCCACGCAGCAGCCCCTTTTTTTCGTAAAAGCTTTTCGCTGCACCTGTTACACCGTGTGTATAGTGGTTGTGCAGAACGCACCGCTAACCAAAAATATCCAGTCGAATTTTTAGTATTAAAAAAAAGAAAAAAAAGGGGAGGAAAATGAAGCCGGATCTCAAGTAGAGCTTTGCACATTGCGCACGCGTGATAATAATGCTCTCAGCTAAATATATGTAAATTGTAACAGGTTTAGCACGTGCAGTAGTAGCTAGCCTGCTGCAAGCTCAAGGATCAGCTCACGTATATGACATAGGAAGCTCCCGCAAGAAGCTGCCCGCGAGCTGCAACGAGAATTATACACATACATCTTTTTGTAGCTCTGATGGATGTGACACGGCTATAATACGCCATTTTCCGTTTGTGCGTATGTAATATGCAGGCGCGTCTGCCCCGGGTATTATTTTGCAGCTTCGTGAGCCGAGATTATTCACGCTTTCTCGCCTCTCTCGCACGCGCGCTACCCGTGCAATGACCGAGATCCACGTCGTATGTTTGTATGTGTGAGCGTGCTCGTGTGTTTGCGTAATATCTATACGGTCTGTTTGAACTTCGAGTCCGATGCGCCCCATACGCTGCATGAAAAATAATGATCGGCGTTAAACAATACCCCGGCGATGAAATTAACGTTTCGAAATTCCATTAAAGGTATATAGCCTATTGCGCGTTGAGTGTGTGTGGGTGTGAGTATTGTACCGGCTGTAACAAAATTAAAAATCGATTTATTTTAATTGATCCAAAATAACGCCCTCCTGATTTACGGCGCGAATAAACGTTAATAGCGAAATATTGTTCCGAAATTGTTGTAATTTGCGTTATAATATTATCCGTGAGTCGGAAACCGCGCACGGCTTTGAATTTCAAGAATATGAAACTCTTCTGAAAACAGAGAGGCAAAAAAGCAAAACAAATGAGCGTTCGAGTTCTTGCGAGAGTGGCACAAAAATAAGAAGAAGAAAGGAATTTTTTCGGCATGATTCTGGCATAAATTTAGAGCCGTGCGCCGTACTAGACCGAAAAAGCTACCATCCACGCGTATATGCTTATACGAGGTGAAAAGTCACTCCGCTACAAATATACGTATACGAAATATTTGTGAATATACACTTATTAGATATAAAATCCATATGGCGTTGCGCATAAAAGGATCAGATTTAATCATATTGTTTACGAAAATCGAGAAATTGGGATCGATTTTAAGGTTTCAGGGGACTTCCACCACCTGCTCTCCACGATTCTTTGCTTCTTTTTTGCTGTCAAACTAATTTTAAAATTACGATTTCATTACGATTGATCATTCGAATCTTCGCGCGATTTATATCGGTAATAAAAACGAAAAAAAAGAACACCAAAAACGCCCCAAGTTATAACTGTTGAACAGTTTGAAAATAAGCGCCTCGGATTATTTAAAGTCCCTCGCGCTCGAGAGTGTAGTGTTTGGGAATGTTCAATTGGTAGACATTTAGTATTCGATTTATCGTTCATTCCGAAAAACCGGCGGAGTGCGAAAAATAGCATTTCGATAAAACCAATACGACCTTTTCCTGGCACGTGCGCTCGCGAGGGAGAGCGAGAGCTAGAGAGCTAGCTAGAGCTAGCTACCTGCACAGATCCCTCTTTGAACGTTTGTCTTTTCATTTTTTTCCGTGTCAGTTATTGTGCGGGGGGCTATATAGCTGCTTGTGTATATATCGACCATTGGAATTTATTGAAAAAAAAGGAGGAGGAGGAGGAGAGGGGGGAAAAATACATCCGAATTTAATCAACGGCGTATCGCGAGAAGGCGACGTACGATATTCAAAGTATTATAAATACAAACAATATTATTTCGATATCCGTCTTGTCCCGTGGCTTCAACCTGCCTCAGTGCCTATGTAATGAATTTAAGAAAATACATCGGATATCTCGTCGCGTGGCACCTTCGACAAATTCTCGTTAATCTTAATGAACGCTTCCGCGTACCTCGGAACAACGAAAATAAATAGGTTTTTTCCTCCGATCGAACGTGCACAGTAGGTGGGGATCCGTCTTATTACTCATCGACGTGCTTTTTTTTCTAGCCGCGATTGAATCCGAACGCGACGCAAATAAAC